AGAGGCCTTTTATTCCAACATATTTTTGTCCGCATCCTTGGCATTCTATCAAATAAACGGTACCCCTCAATTGGCAAATTTTATTGTCGTTGCAGTATGCACAACTTCCTTCTGCCACATTTTTCTTCATAAAGGTCTTAAATAGGTGAGTAGATGTCTGAGATTGGGTGGTGGACGAAATAACATAATGTACAGGGCGTATGGGAAGCTTTGACCTTTTGACACACTGTTAACTTTCTGTGCCGTATTCGTCCAGATGCGGCATTACCATGGGAACACCATCTGGTGTTAAAGAAATGCTTGAAATCGGAAAATTCTTGCAATCTTTTTCAGCATGAGTGTATCAGTGTGATCACTAGATGCAATACACAAAGTTTTACGCATGAAGGTTCGGTTTCCGAAGAGAAACAAACGTCTGAAAACCACACGTTATGGACATCGAAGGTAATTCGGGCGGAACCAGATAACGCATGGAACAATGTACGTGGGGAGGCGGCTATGTGTAAGGTGACGCGTTGTAGGACGAATTCAGGATACGACGTGTAAACTGCCGCGAGTGCAATTACGTCCCATCAGCACCAATTGCGCCTGATTTTGTTTCGCAACGCGAGCGTGGCCTTGCGCGAGCAGTTGCCTTTGGGACGCCATGACCGTGATTGCCTCCCTCGCTGTCTTCCACGTGTGGCACGACGAAACGTCCAGATCGCAGTGCAGATTTTGCGACTGAACATTTGTGTAAGAGCGCGCCAGAGTGGATGCTGACTGAGCTGCCAATGCTGCAGAGTTTTACCACTCTATTGCACTATTGAAATAGATCGCTTATCAGTTCAATTACCTTTATCGTCAATCATTAGAATACTGTAAGCTACTTCGAGGTGATGTATCATAATCATTTTGAAGTTGTGATACATCACTCACAGCAATTGTCAGTTCGTGAAGTGCATTTGGAAAAGTTTCGTTTTCTTACACTGGGTAGAAGAGAAGAAGATGTTCCTGTCCATTCATAGTGGAAACTCAATTTCGCAGTTACATGCTGTCGAAAGAATCGTACAAATCTGAATAGTGTCGGAGTTTATCGTACTGAGTTTTGCGCTCTTCTTTTATCTTTACCTTTAGTTCATTTTAGCACGCCTGCGCTCTCATTTGCATCTACAATGCAAGTGAGTTTCTCAAACTGGTGATTTCCTCTGGCGTTGCCCTTTAGTTACCAGGTAAACAGGTATTTTGGTGTGTCGTGTGCTCGTATCTCTGATATTTTGATATCACTCCTCTTTAGTTTTTATCAAGTTGCAGTGTTGTTATCAAGTTGCAGTTAATGGAGACCAAATACAAACACAAATACAAATAATGGAGAGTTGGGTTTTTTACAGCGAAAAGGAGCATAAGGTGCGACAGTTTGTGCCGTCGACAGTAATTCGGATTCCTGCGAGATAAGAAGCCTCCTGAGGAGTGTAGATGTGAAACAAATTGGCTCATGCCCCTTAGGATTTTCTTGCAATATTGGCTATCACGTTTTCTCGGCTTACGAATTATTGACCACATCTGCTCCCTGTCCTCCACGCTTGAAGTATTTTCAAAATTGTGAATGTTGCGGGAAATTTTTAAAGCATAAAACTGGTAGTTTTCCTGATTGAACGAAGTCAACTTCCCGAAGTTTTTTTGCGATCGCGATCCTTTACATTGAGTGCTCCCCTCTACTGGCACTGAATTCTTGTTTCCCAAACTAAAGATTCGCTTCTGCCTTGCAAGGGTATGTTTCGCCCTTGATGCATTTGTGGCTCCCTTATGCACGTTAGATACGACATTGCACGTCTCGTGGTCGCCTCTAGCAATAAGTACTGAGGAATTCCATGATTAGTGAGGTGAGGCTGGACACTGCAACTTGATAAAAACTCGAAGAGGAATGACTACGAGGTATCAAATACCCTGTTAACGACAGCCAAAGGCAAGCCAGAGGAAAAGTCACTAGTTTGAGAAACATCAACTTCATTGCAGACGCAAATGAGGGCGCAGGCGGGGCAAAATAACCAGAGAAGGTAAAGATAAAACAACAGCGTAAAACTTCAATGCGATAAACTCCGCCACTATTCAGATTTAGACGATTCTTTAGATTTAGATGATCTAGACGATGAGTTTCGTGAGCGTAGCGCAGACACTTTCTTAGCTGGTCCAGTTTTATTGGTCGTCGAGCTGGTTACTACTGATTTGCGCGTAAGTTTTCCGTGGTTTCTTTTGACGCGGGGCTGTTCAAGTTCTTGTCCGTTTTCAACGATTTTGGTGACTTATATTCCGATTATGTCGCTCATTTCGGTGTACAACCCTTCTACTGTTCTGCTATTACATTTTGCTTTGTGAGAATTGTGTACTCGTTTCACTTTGGAGTTTATATGAAAGCAAAAAGTTGATTGATGTGGATTAATGAACACATATTGAACATAAACTATGTAAGGTGCTCATTAAGCGTCGAGAAACCTGCCTACGCTCCAAATTGAAACAAGTATGCAAATATAACAAACCAAAATATATAGATTGAAAACCTTCATATAACATCCAAATCGCCGTAAATGATCAACAAATGTCCTAGAAACCCCCGAGTCGAGAAACGGCGGAAAATTTTTGCTTAGCAATAGGAACACATTTCGTGAATAAGATTTATTCCACAGCTCCGAAATCTTTGACATCTTGTCAAGATACGAATGAAGTAAAATCAACTCATATTTTGTAAATCATAGGTCACCCGCGCAAGAAACCTGGCATGTCTGCCTGTGATTCATGTTTTTCACGTGTCGATCACAAGAATGTCTGAATTGACTGATCACCTGCTCACCTCGACATTTAATCGCTCAATCTCTTTAGGCGCGAGCTATGGACGGTGCCTTATACAACACATGGCTACCATTGCTCTGAAAGCTACAATGTCGCTGAACAAGCAAATGAGTTTCAATGAAATATAATCTCGTTTTAAATTCAAGGATTCCGAGGTTACAATTTCCAGATGCAATTGCATCCCTGAATGACATTCATCGAAATGTTCAGAAGCTTTTATAATGGAATGGCATATGAAAGTTTTCTAGTTCACACTTGCACTAAAGAAGCGCTTCGGAGAAATTCTTGTACTCGGATAACCTTCGCATTGTCCAATTCTGCTGGCGTGTGTAGTGCTGAACATAAACCCTGTAAAACAGAAATAAGTATTTGGGTGCACGAATCAAATAATAGAAATGATTATATGAAGACTCACGCGCTCTGTTACTGAAAGGTATTCGACCAATCTTGCATGCCCATTTTGTCGTTATCTCTGCAAAGATGTCAAAAACGAAACTTGAAAAACTCAAAGAAGAAAAATGCACGAGGATTACGTAGATGAAACCTCTAGTGAAGACCACTCATAGCACGACCAATCGTGATAACATTCACGTCCTAAGATGTAAAGATAGTGTGATCTGCTAGCATATTTGTAATTTTCACTAGAGCAATCATTGATGCCATTTATGCAGTGGAAGGGACACGAGGGAAGGAAACCTTGCTTGGTACCTAGAAACCACACTAACCTGACACGTAGGTATCCTTATAAGGATGGCTTGTGCTAAAAGTGAGAGCGCCCACTGTAGATAATAGGCCATATAATTTGTTTATTCTTTCTGTAAGAGATATCTTTAGAATTAATTCAGTTCAATCGGAAATGGTCCGCTTACAGGAGCGTTTGGATTACTGTTGTGAATCAGTTTTTAAGGCTGTAGTGTATTCAAGTGGGGCACCCCAAATGCGCAGTGGGTCAGGAAAAGATGATGAATCTCAAGAATAATTGCTTACACATACCCTAGCCCCACCACTTCTAGAGCGACCGCAAGGGGAGAGGAATGCTGAGCGTGTTGGCTTCTCCACAGGATGATGTCCCACCTGATTGCATGCACGGACTTAGGCTTAACTGAACAAACCAACGGCGATTAGCTTATGATTGTAGAATAAGGTTTGCTAGAAGTTATTGTTAGCTTCGTCGCCTGTATTGGTATTGTAATTCACAATGCTGTAGGCCATTTGAAGTAGCCTATCATCATCCTATCATTATCATATTCGAGGTCGTCCATCATATCCACTTCGAGACCTTCTGGAAAGCATCTTCGGAGGTTCCCTTCTCTTACCACCTGTGTTTCCAAATCTGCAACAGATTCTTCTACTTCAAGAAGTTGCTGGAAATGAAGTGGGATATTAGCAGACTCCAGGTATGAGTGACTACCACGCTGCAGTATTTCTCTCCTCAAATCCAGGACGCGGTGGAAAATTTCTCCTCGCCATTCGTGCGTGACAGGAGTTTTGATCACTACAGTTAATTGACGGGCCATAAATTTCCTCTTAAATCGGATAACCCTCTTGGTCATCCTTTGTTTGGATCGCTCAGCGAGGCGTAGGGTGTTGAAGTGGAGGGTTGAGAGCATGACGTAAAGCTTGTGCTTCTCCAGAAGGCTGAAACATTCCTTATTACAGTTATGATCTTAGTGAGAAAAATATGGACTCACTAAAAGGTATCCTTGTTACAGTAAAGACGGTCGAGCGCGAATTTCGTCTCACACACAGAAGTTCCTCCATGTTGTCTACTCTCGCCAGATCCTCTTGAAATCTTGGTTTCAAAATACATTACGATATGCTTCATGAGCGTTGCTTCCTAGCTGAAGGGTTTCCGGCCGTGGAGGTTTGAGAGGACCATGAGAGCAAGACGTAAAGCTACCGGTAAGGGCATTTTAAAATTTGCAAGTGACTGTTAAGTTCCATAAACAGATAACCATTAATCAACAACCTCCTCCCAATTATGCACGTCTCTAACATGCATTAAACACCCATTGAACCTGTGCCTCACGTCTTCTCCTGAGATGCCACGCTCTATACAATCCCAAAGATGGGTTTTAGTTTTTTCTATCCGTCCTCTAATGGCGTCGCGTTCTGAACCACGAGACTCCTAAAGAACAAGATCGCACAAACACGGTAAATTGGAATTGTTTGCCTTGTACCTTTCGCAATCCGTTTCCTAACCACTTGATAAGATGCCATCCATCGAAATAGTGCTCTATTGAGGTACCATGTACCCGCTCCACTCCCTGCAGTACGCCTTGGAAGCTTCTGCTCCTGTCTGTCGTGAGGGAGCTTATGTGAAAACCTTGCATGCATAATCAGTGCAACGCTCGCCTCAAACCTTCTATTTCTATTCTCGAGCTGTGGTCGTCTATATGAAAGGTGGTGATAGTGAGCAGCACTCAATGTTGAAAGGCTGACCGCACTCCGACCTATACAGCACTTCACAGTGCATGACCAATTTCGTTTGAAGAATCTGCAACCAAGACTTTTCCTAATTTTCGCGCTGAAACCCCTACTATCATACGGTCCATCTGCAGCGACGTGTAAGCCGGAATTGCGTCTCTATAAAAACAATACAACGGATGTTACGTTCCCTTTGCGTGAAAGAAATTGTGCGCGTATACCTTAATCTCCTCTCTGATAATCGATAGGACCGACTGCTGATGTGACATGTACACGCGTTCAATGGCAGGAGCGGTTAGAGAGAAGATTTTGTAGTAGAAGGTCTGGCCGAAAAGTGCGATGCGAGCCTCCTTAGCCCATTGTTGCAGTCTCCTAGGTAAACCTCTACCGGTCTTCGGTTATTCGCATGTACAAAGAACGTACCACAAATCTAGTCCCCGTTGTAATCGCCGACACCGCAGCTTGTATGTTCCCTTTGAACGATTTTTCCCTCGGATGGGCAACCGCTCTTTCCTGTCCTTCGAATCGCTTCTTGAAAGGAGAGCATGCTGTGCAGATGTATTCCACAATGGGTGCTGTTCCACAGACTCTCAATCGTACACATCGTACCGATTACAAAATTTTTGAGCCACAAGTTGGGCAAAAACGGAATAGCTTCATTAGTTGACTTCCTTGTATTAGAAAGTATTGCTCGAGTAACGAGGGATTCCGTTCCGTCCAATTCCAAAATGTCTTGGGTATCTACTGATGATGCAGATGGATTGATGAGCTGTATTAAGAGCGTAGAGCTGGACGATTTAGTTTCTCCAGAGATTCCAGTTTCACTCATATCAAAGGATGCTCGGTACACTCCCTCATTGTCAGCATCGTTGGTGCGAGCAGGTTCTGTACACATTGCGACTTCACATATTTCCTCCACTTCAACATGGGCGTCCTCATCGTGAACCTTGAAGTGGGTATTTATATCTCGGGTCTCATCCGGTAAGAGGAGCACACGGTACGACAATTTTATTCCCCAGGTAATCAAATTGTCCGTAAGGGAGGGGAGCTCCGCAGTGGGCGTAGACATTGAAGCGAAATGGTCGCGCATCGCGGGGATTTCTCCCCTCCGCGAAAAATGGAGTTTTTGTAGGTTCCAGCAAATTTCGCACCGCATGCTCCCTTACTGATTGAAAACATATAATTCGCTATGTGAAAAATACTTCTGATCAATACATTTTTATCGACAAGGTGTTTCATACATGATGCGGACTCTTTCTTTTCTGGGTTCCTAGAGATGCACTTGTGCTACATTCGCTAAACTCATGGGAGTTCCTGCCAAATTATTGGTGAAATGCGACAAGGTATGCTGTTAGTTTGAGGCTTGCCTAAATAACAATGTGCGTAAGTATTGTAGCCCACGAAAAACAATAAACTCCAGACTTACATCAATGGCTTGACAACTCGGATGGAAACGAGCAAGAATTTCTTCCATAACATAGGTCGACACAGTGAAAAGATCTTGCACAACAAAATTACACAACATCGTCGCTACAGCGCACAGATGATGATTTGGACTTTTTCACATTTAAACCTTTGCCTCGCAATGATCTGCATCTTACCGCTTCTTGAAAGTGATCCCTACAGACACGCTTGCGCAAACGGATGCATTCGCCATAGATGTCCTTCGCTTCGGATAAACCCAGTCTTCCGTCCTCTACCATAGCACACAATAATACCATTATAACACTCTTAGATGTTGTACGACGGTAGTGATTGTTATTGCGGTAGTTGCGACAAATCCGACAAAACGATGACATGTCTCCTCAAGTGCTTGTTTATGTGCATCACAATGAACGAATCCACCAAAATATTACATGAACATGCAACATGAGAAAGCATGAGAAAGCACACAAGTCTAACGCTTTAATTCTTATTACTCCAGTTCATTTCCATCTCAGCATCATCCAAAGCTGTAGAAAATTTACGTGGAATCTTCTTCGTCGACCTCATGCTTTCGTCTGTGCAAACCCTTTTTCATTCTCTTTGGCACGATCATATGATTTACTTCCTCCTATAAAAACGTATGAAGATTAGAAGAGAAACATCCTTACAAAAACTGCATTCTATGGACAATCTAAGGTAAAAGGCGCGGAGCCAAAGGCGGGCTATGGAAAGAAGTCGCCTTTAACCGGCTACGTATCAGGCGACGCAATGAAAGAATCGGGTTGAAAGCGTGCGATTTTGGAGAGTAGAGACAAATCGATCGATAGAATAGGATGGAGTAGAAGTGTGAGATGTGAATGCAATAAGTCAAAAGGCCAGAGAGTTTCTAGTGACGGCACTCCAAGAACCAAGTGGAGGCATTCCTTGGTGTTAGATGTGACAGATGATACTTTGGACGCGTAGCAGCCCTTCCAGTTTTTCGAATTTTTTACCAAAACAAAAGCAATATTTCTGTTCTTTTCATTCTTATCGTGGATAATGAGTCTCAAGCCAGTGATTTATGGCTGAAATAGAATCATGATTTCTCGTGAAAGATTCCTTTGAAGAAGGAAATCGTATAGGGCTAAGACAGGAATTGTGGACGAAGAGGTGGAGCAGAGGGGGGAGGGGGAATGGTTAGAAAGATCGTATGAACCCCCACCGGGAACAAGTCTTGTTTGAGCCCAAATTTTACCTATCGCAACAATTGACCAGGTTCTGTGAAGCCGTAGTGTTTCCGTAGATAATCGAGTTCTCGCACGAATAGGGTTGATGCTGAATTTCCTCTCCGAACAAAAACATAATTACAGGTCAAGAGCGGATTCCCTTCTTAACCAAAAAGTTTCCGAATCGAAATACATGAACAGTAAATGGCAAATGATAGCGCGATTAGGGCGATGAAGGAACGCTCAGAAGTAGAGAAAGTAGGTAAAAGGTTTCATGTTGTCAATTTCTGCTAGTAGCATAAAAACAGTCCAACAAGTCTCCTAACAATGCTAGAAATGTCGCAAACTAGTTATGAATTTACTGACTGAAAAAGTCTAGACCGCATGAAAGAAACTGTGATTAAGCAGAGAACCGGTGATAGATTCACGTTTCTAACTGCCTGTGTGATATAATATAACAATAATAATAATATAACTATAATAATAACTATAATAATAATATGACTATATGATATAATTACCTTACTAATGTTCTGTGCCCTCCGCTCAACCCACTCCCATCTCTATCCTCCTCCCCCTCTCGATGAACATTTTTCACGGAGAGTTTCAGATAGGATAAAAATATGGGATTGGGATCAATAGACAGATATGATAAGTTTCGCAACAGCCTTTGAGGTAGGGGGTGCGGGATGCGGTCGTTTCAGTAAAAGATCCCTGACGAAATTTTTCGTGGTTCAACCAGGCATCATACTTTCTTGCCAGTAGATCATCATTTAGTCATGAGTTACTAGCAGACTTCACACAGTTGTTGCACCAATATCGTGGTATGCAAAAGCAGCATCAGTGCACCCTCTCCCCTCCCCCCCAACGCTCTTCTCAGTTCACGACTATGTTCAGGATTTAAAACAGAAATAGCAACGGTAGGATTGAAGTGAGTCCAGATGAGATGATTAGAATAGAAACAAATGTAACAGTAAAGAGAGAGGGGTGTGCCAGATTACAACTGAAATCCTCACAAGGCATAACAGTCAGTAGTAGATAGACCGCAATATTCATTCACCAACCTTGGTACCAGCACTTCTCGTGACAGCTGATGATTGGATGGAGAGGATCACTTGATGGCACGTTCAATCCATTTCCTAGAACAATAGAATGCAGATTACTATTCGAATTTTAGTAAAAGCAATCGTAGCTAGTGAGCATTGCATGGTGAATGTTCGACACACAACGAGGCGACATAACCTTGAACTACTAACGTGAAAATGGGGTTCAAAGGCCGGGATCAGACATCAAAAATCGGCGAAACTCAGGTTCGGGGGCCATGCGATGGCGCGGCATTTTTCGTCTATTCCACCAAGGCTTAGTCCTCCGATGGCGCGTATTTCGAAACTGCCACGTGATGCGAAAGAGTAACTGTCCTACGGACTAAGCACTAGAGGAGCAGACGAACAGAGCGCCGCGCCATCCCGTGGCTCCCCGAACCCGAGTTTCGCCCAAAAATCTACATGAGTAATTCCAAACCCAGGAGGAGGTAAAGCAGAGCTGTGAAACAAAAAAGGTAAAATTAGGTCAAGCCCAAGAATTTCCGGTGGCGACACTCCAAGAAACAAGGTACCCGTCGCAAAGCTCGTGACGTCAGCTTGGCGGGAATTTGAACGACTAATAGGTGTCTCGGTTTTTTGAATTTTTCTACAAAACAAACACTTATTTCTCGTTCTTTTCTTCTCATCGTGACCTATGGGACTCAAGTCAGTGATTCATGGAGAAATAGAATCATGATTTTCCCGCGCAGGCTTCATTCAATACATACATGTACTAACACTAGGATATTTTCCGATACATAAATTTTTAATTTAGGTCATTCTTCAGCCAACCTTATCCCTATCTGTCATTGGAACCAAAAATGAGACAAACGCTGGAAAGATTTAGTCTCCAGTTTCCGGAGGTGAGAATTTGAGATAGACTGACTCGCCACAAGGTGGTGGATTTCAAATTAACGGTGAAAGGTATCAATCCCCAGCAGGGTAAATATTGAGATTCCTCAACGGCACGTCGAGGATTTTCGCCTGATCCTTTACGTTCTCGCGCGCGGATATTCACTCTCGCCACCCGCGAGCCGTCTGTGCTCTCGCACAGCAGAGAGCGATGCTTGAAGAATTCCTCGACCGTTATTCACCCTGATTCCCAGGGTAAGTGCTGGCATGAGAATCGCGTCTTTCTCTCGAAGGTAATTTTTGGAGGGGGCTATATCGTGAACTTAAAAAAATTGGTGCAGAACGTTGTTGAAAAAAGAGTAAAGAAATCACCACAACCACGGAAATTGAGGACCTTCTTTTGTTGGGCAGGCTATGCAACGACAGAGACAAGGGCACCTAGGAGATAAGAGGGGGGGGGAGTGTTTCAATGCGGGAGGGGGCAGCCATGTCTCTGCACAGACCTTTGTATCATCTCGTGATCATAGAATACCAAGTAACGCAACTGAGAAACCCTTGGAATCTTTGTCGCGCTCTTTTGGGCGCGTAGTTCACTGCGCACCCTCGTCTGAACAGATTCTTGAGAGCTACTTCATTCCACATTAATTCATATGGAAGAGCGGCCTGTTAGGCTTATGTCGCTATAAGGAAATGACTCTTATGGGAGAGGGCGCTCATGACTGGAATGGCTCACTCGTTCTGTGCGCTCTACCAAAATCGACGGCGACCTTTGGAGGCACTCATGAAGGGGTATCGCAAAGCATGCAAATGGCTAGATGGAGGTGGTGACGAAGGTGCCGCGACG